GGGAAGTAAAACAGGTGCATTAGGAACATGCTGCTCAAATCCCAGGGTCAGAGGAGCAGGTTAGGGATGGAAAGCACCACCAGCAGCACTTCCCACCTACTTTGCTCCATCACCTCCCTGGACCTCTGCTCCGAGCAACAGTGATGCCTCCACACAAACTCCCCATGGGCTGACCACTGGGATAGCTGCGGTATACCTGAGCTGCAATAGGAAACCCTTTCCTTCCTGCAGGGAACTCTGGCATGGCTTTTGGCTTTCTCAGATGCATATACATCTTAGGGAAGGGACAGGCCTGTTCTCCCTGGGCAGGGCACTACCAGATCCAGCCCTGCAAGCAAGATCCAACCCTGCAAGAAAGGCCAGCATTCAGAGGATGGAGACTGAAGTCAGATTACTGGGAAAAGCAAATGCAAAATAAGGAAGGGGGGAAAAGCTGGTGTAATTTTCCTATCACCTCTCCTTCTCTGCACCCAGCACCCTTTCATCCTGTTTGGGGAAGGAGTAAAGGGGTGCCTTACTGTGAAACAGAAACATTAGGACTGGCAGAGCCAAAACCACCCTGTATTTTATATCTCCACACACAAGACACTGGAGCCAGCCCACATGTCCCAGCACCCAGGAAGCTACTGGAAAGCCATTTCCTCTCTCCATCCCGCTGCCTCTGCCTTCACTATTCCTGTCTTCCCCACCCAGGCTCCACACTTCTGCTGTTGAAGCAAAAAAAAAAAAGTCTTATGGCAAGAAATAGTGGCTCCAACTCTACAGTTTATATAAAATAATCCCCTAGCTCTAAATGAGCACAATCGTTAAGGAGTTGATGCATTTATTAATTGCTTAACAAATAGAAACTAGCTTGGACTGCTTAAATGCTAATTACTAGGCAAAAGCATTGCTCTCCTTGAATGACACCATGCAAGCAGTGATTAACCAGCCAGGGAAAACTGATTGGCTTCTAGGGCCAGTACTCGTAAATTTGTTATTTTTTTCCTTAATTAAAGGGTATTTAATACCTCCATCAAAATACACACCCGAGTGCTCATGAGCAGCTCTCTCGTGCCCTCCTGCTCCTTTGCACAACCGAGTTTTTCCATTTCAACCAAGATGCAAAGGTTCATCTGACATGATGCAAGTGCCCAGGACTCCTACCCCTTTCAGCAGCAACTGCCACCAGCAGCAACCAAGAAAGGCAGAGCAGAACCTGAAAGGCCATCCCTAGGTGCAGCTCCCCCTTCCAAGACACAGAGGTCTCCTTTCTCCTTGCTACCACATTCACCCTCTACCAGCACAAGGCTGGTCCTCTCCACAAAGCAGCTGCAGGAATTGATGCCCAAGGGTCCCAGGGGCAGGCAGGACTGTGGGGCTGACAGCAGAAGGCAGGACTGTGGGGCTGGCAGCAGAAGGCAGAAGCATCTCTCTCCTCCACCACCAGGAGAAGAGCTGTGGTGTTGTCTCATAATTCTTTGCCCCCACCAGAAGTTACGACATTGGCTCAGCTGCTGATGGAAGCTGCAGTTTCGAGCCTCCCACCTTCCACGAAAACGCCCAGCGTGGAGCAACAGGCTGGACAGGGCCTTGGCCAACAAAACACATGGTTTACAGGGCCAAGAAAGATAAGCAAGGAAGAACCAAACATTTTAGCTCAACTACCAACGCCCTGGCCTGGGAGGCACTGCTCCAAGCACTCATCTAGAAGTTCTTTTTTCCAGCAGTCCTCAGGGGATGCATGGAAGCTCTCCCGGGAGCAGTGATTTGAACCAGGGAGCAGGAGCCTGCCAACAAGGAGATTTCACTCCAAAGAAACCACAAAGAAAACTGAGGCAGGGCAGGGCACCAGGCTGAGGCACGGGACACCCTGCTTGGGAGCAGACCCCGAGCGGTGCCGTGTTTGTCAGCACAACATGGTGGTTTTAATGCTTGAACCCTACATGCCCAGGTCCTTCAACCAGCAAGAACAGAAGCCGGTATTAAGTAGTCTGTAACCACACAGGTTCAGTTTACACCCCTAATGGGGTTAACTTCAATGAAAGCACAATGATCACCTCACACTTTGAGGTGATCCAGCAAAATTAATTCCTTCAGTAAGCTTGTTTCTATATTCTGTCTATTTAGCGTTTCCCTTTTTCGTCCCCAAACTCCTCAGTGGAGCTACTCTGCTCTGAAAATGAGTTTCTTCTGATACACTACAGAGCCAGCTGTGATTCAGCAGCATCCCTGCACAGCCCTAAGTTGCACAGTTCTGGCAATGGCATTTTTAGATACCAGGCAGAAGTTTCTGTGTCTGAGGGATGGCACCTTCCTGATCCCAGCAAGCTGCAATGCAAGCATTGAAGAACAGAAAAGAGAGATGAGAAAGATAACCAAAGGAAGATGAAGGCAAGCACGCCACATACTGTCACTGCCAACAGGTTTCAAGCTGTTTTATTGAGTGGCCTTTTTATTTCCTCCTTAATTTCTACATTAGCTAATGTACCAAGCATGGAAAAAAACCTTTAATTCTTGGCTCCAGTCATACCTTTCCACACAACCCCAGCCAAACCACTGAATTTCTCTGCCTTTCCTGTAAAACAGGCTGCAGACACCATTTCATAAATGCTGGACAACAGCTATGGGGCACCAACCCAAAACCCAAACCAGGGCTCAGAAACCCAACAGATAACCCAGTGTTCAGTGCCTGCAACTGCTTGGTACAGCCACAACCACACCATTAGATGTACCCAGTACAATTTACAGGAACTCCCAATTTTGATGATTAACCCAATTTGGGGTTAACTGAAAAGAGACCTATATACTGAAATCAGTAGTCACTGTACAAATACAAGGAATTATAGAAAGCATGTATACATATATATATAGCCATGAGGCCCCAGGCCAGCTGAGCTTTGCATCCTCCCGTGCTCCGTTACTATTACTGTCTGAAACTTTCCTGCACATGTCAGCAATATCTGTATAGCAAAAAAAGAAGGGCGCTGCAAGCCCATCTGCTGATTGAATAGGTTTTGAGGCAGCTGCTTCCAAAAGCATCTTCCAGGCAGGGTCCAGACCCTTGGTCAGCCCCGGAGTGTTTCCCACCTCCTCCCGAAGCCCAGCGTTGGCACTGCCAGGACACATTCCCAGGGTATCGCTAACAGCACAGGGCCAGGCTGTGTTTAACCATCTGCTGGCCGAGGAGCTGTAGTGCCAATGCCCAGGAGCGCGGCCGGGGGG